AGTTTTCAAACATTAACCTGTCAAAAATCAACAACCCAATTATTTAAAGGCAAAGGAGATGAACAAAAAAGGGAAATTGCCAACAAACACACGAAGAACTGCTCAACATTCCTAGCCATTAAATAAATCCAAACCAAGCAATACTGAGAGGCTGGTACCCACAGCTAACACTTGTAATTCTAGCATAATTGGAAATCTGAGGTGTGAATTTTACAGTTCAAAGTCAACCAAGTGCAAATTTCCTGAGATCCTTTTCTTCAATGTATCACCAAAAAAATTAAACAGCCTGAAGCAGAGCGGTGGCTCAAGTGGTAGTTGCCACCCTTGAGTTCAAGGACCAGTACCAGCATGCATGCACACACACACACACACACACACACACACACACACACACACACACACACAGAATATGAATGACCAATATTATGGTTTTTTTTTTTACTTATTTTTTTTTATTTGGGTCCGATTGTGGGGCCTGAACTCTGGGCCTAGCCACTGTCCTTCAGCTCTTCAGCTCAAGGCTAGCGCTCTACCACTTGAGTCACAGCGCCACTTCCGGGTTTTTTCTTTTTGCTTATGTGGTGCTGAGGAATCGAACCCAGGGCCTCAGGCATGCAGGGCAAGCGCTCTACCACTGAGCCAAATTCCCAGCCCCAATGAATGACCAATATTATGTATACAAGCACAAATGCTGTGGATATGAAGAAAAAGGAACGCTAAACAACTGAAACCACTAAGAAAATCAGTATGAAATTTTAACAAAAACCATAAACAAACAGAGCTATTGTGTGACCCAACCATACTCCTCAAGCATGCATATAATAGAATGTAAGTCAGAAGGTAAGGCACTTGCATACCTATGTCCATTGTAGCACTTGCCACAATAACCGAATAGTGGAAATGGCCCAAACTCCTGATAGCCAATGAAGATAGATAGATAGGTAGGTAGGTAGGTAGATAGACAGACAGACAGACAGACAGACAGACAGACAGACAGACAGACAGACAGATAGATAGATAGATGCATGGTAGATTGATAAATAGATCATAGATAATAGAGAAACATAGACATAGGTCACTAAGCATATCCTATATACTGTGAGACAGTGAATGATTATATACCTCTCTTCTCTCTCACTTTTTGTGCCAAGAATACTTCTCACAAGGAAAAATGTACCACAGGTCCCCAAAAAACTGACATATAGTCATGACTAAAATAGACAGTCCAAGACATTTATATATTTTTTTCTTTGCCATCCATTCTGTCTTGTAACCATGATCACCTCCTTCCCATTCTAGCTTGGCAGGTACTTGGGAAGCTGTGACTCACTAGGACCTCAACCTCCAAGACACCAGGATAGCAATTCAATTTCTTTTGCTAAGAATTTGTTATTTATTGGGATAAACTCAGCTTTGTTTTATTCTTCTGGAATAACTTTCTTTAGATCATCAACTTATGAAGGAGACATTAATATTTACACTTTCAGCTGTGTCTCTTAACACAAAAGCTTGTGACCTTAGTCAAGTTCAGGAGGATAGAGTGTTATCAGAGGATGAACATACACAAGCCAGTTGGGTGGGGGGGAGCATGCCATAATTCCAACAAGTTAGAAGGTGTAGGTAGTAGGTTCATGACCTCAGAAAAAATTCAAGACTTTATCTGAAAAACAAACTAAAAGCAAGAAGACTAGGGCATGATATTCAAATGTTAGAGGACTTGCTTAGCAAGTATAAGGCCCCAAATTCAATCCCTGTTACCACAGAGCCTAAGATGTAAAAAGCATGAACAGATAAAGCATTTCATTCATCTCCATGTTTTGTAATTCTAAAATCACAAATTTCACACCCAGTCTGGGAACTATGGTGCAGACTGTTTTTCCTTCTCACTGTGAAAACATCTCTGTGTGGCATGTCTATTCCAAGTTCTCCTATTGTGATTCTATCCCTGGATGTGGTGATGGCAACAACTGTAGTCTGGTTCCTCTCCCTGAAGCAGGAACTCAGCAGCTAGGCCCTTGCTGTCACTGTCTGTGCTCAGCTCCCCCTGTAGTTTCTGCCACTGTGTCTCTCAGAGCACAATAGTACAACCACTGTGTCTCTCAGAGCACAGCCAAGTCTGACACCAGGACTATGGCTTTCTTCTTTCTTTGTCATACATGGCCTCAAATCCTTTGTGGCTTCCCATCTCATTGGCCTTGGAGAATTTAATAAGGAGCTGTGGACCTTCTCCAGGGTATTGGACATACCAGAATAAGGTGGAGTACTGTTTGGTTTCATAGGAGCAGTTCACAGTTAGGGAAGCCCCTTCCAAAACGGCCACTGGCCTTTTGTCTGGGTCACTGAGTCTCCATTGCTTCCTCCTGAAAACAAAATATTAGAATTCAGCAGGAGATACCTTAATCTGCTTGGTCATGATTCTCCTCTTTCTTAGAGAAACCAGGGTTAAAGATTCTGTCAGCATCATCAGCAGAAGAATTATTTTTTGTGCCATATCACTCACCAAACAATAAGAGCAGTGCAATCACTGGTCCTGGGGAGCAGCTCATTTTCAGAGCCTCTGCAGTCAGTGAATCTTGACTTCTTGTTGTAAGGAAAGGTGAAGGCATAGGGAAAGATGAATTAAGCTGAGGATGACAGCAGGAAGTGAGTGTGTGTTTGGAAGATGGGCCCCCTTGTGGACAAGATCCCAAACTCAGAGGACTGTTAACCTCTCAAAGGCCAGGGCTATAACTCCATTCTGGCTCTCCCTCTCCTCCATCCCCGATATACTTGTAGCTTTCTGGTGATTCTCTTTAATTCTGTTTTCTATTTTTGTATTTTGAGCCATTACATTTATTTAGCCACTACATCTTATTTAGAAACACTACTCCAAACACTTCTAAGAAGAATTTAACTTTACTATTTGACTTTAGTTTTTGCTCACCCAGTGAGTCACTGAAAAATTAGAAAAACAAGTTTTAGGATAGAATTGTAAAAATATCAACAAGCCTAGTGGTCATTAGCTCAGTTTGGATAGCAGAGACAAATTAAATTATGCTATTCCCACACCTCAAACAATATCAGAAATATGTCAGGTAATTAAAAAATACTTCTCAATGCAAATTAAATGAATAAATGGATAGCTTAATCCTAGCACTTAGGAAGCTAAGGCATGATGTGCATAAGTTCTAGGCCAGCATGGGCTACATAGCACCTTTTAAGCCAACCTAGGTTACATAGTCAGAGACCCTGTCCCAACAAAAATATATTAGGGAGAAGTTTCAGTACCCTGCTTTCACCAATAGATAGGTTGGTCAAGAGAAAAATCAACAAAGAAAACTCAGAACTAAAAAATAATACAAATAAAATGGACTTAAGGAACATCAATAAAGTATTTCATACAGCAGCTGAAATATATACATGCTTTTCTGAAGTCCATTGAGCAGTCTCTAACATAGATAACATTTTATGTCATAAAGAAATCTTACCAAATGCAGAAACATTTAAAAATCCCCTGCATTCTCTTGTATGACAATTAAAGAACTAGCTTAGTAAAAGATACTACAAATATTTAACACTTGAAGATTGAGTAACACATTGTGAATGACAAGTGGATCAATAAAAAAATAAAAGACAAAATCCAAACAATTCTGGAATCAAATGAAAATAAAAAACACAAACTACCAGAATCTCTGGGAAACAGCAAAGGACATGATGTCAGTTGTAGTTAAAAGTGCCCAGACCCTCTACCAAAAAAAATTCCACATAAAATTTCCAAATACATAGACTAACATGTACACCAAACTTGTAGAAAAACAAAAGCAAACAAAATCCTGAGTTACTGGACGGGAATAAATAACAAAGTTTAGGGAAGAAATTAATAAAATTATGATTTAAAAATATGCACAAGCCAGGAGTTCATGGCTCACACCTGTAATCCTAACTACTCAGGAAGCTGAGATCTGAGAACCTCGGTACAAAGCCATCCAGGCAGGAAAGTCCATGAAACTCTTGTATCTTCAATTAACCATGGGAAAACCAGAAGTGATGCTGTGGCTCTATCTGGTAAACCACTAGCTTTGAGCAAAAGAGCACAGAGCCAGTGCTTAGGCCATGAGTTCAAGCAATAAAATAATAACAATAATAAATTAAGTATCAACAAACACCAAGGAAATCCAAAATCATGTTGGAAAACTTTGAAATGAAAAAATGTAATAAAGAATATACAAATGGGCTGGGAAGGTGGCTCAGTGGTAGAGCTCTTGCCTTGCATGCATGAGGCCCTGGGTTCTATTCCCCAGCACCACATAAGCAAAAAGGAAAAAAGCCAGAAGTGGCACTATGGCTCAAGTGGTAGAGCGCTAGCCTTGAGCTGAAGAGCTGAGAGACAGTGCCCAGGCCCAGAGTTCAGGCCCACGACCGGACCCCAAAAAAAGAATATACAAACAAAGGCCCAGGACTGTATCAGACCTTCTAAGAATTAATCCCAATTGGTATCAAACTCTTCAATAAAATAGGAAAGAAAAGGACACTACTAACCTCATTTATGAAGCCAGTATTGCAGTTTTCCCAATCTAGACAGAGACCCAAACAAAAAAGAGAGAATTATAGATCAATCTCCTGATGAACATTTCTGGAAAAATGCTCACTAAAATACAAACAGAATTCAACAATACATTAAAAAGATCATACACCATGAACATTTTGTAATCTAAGGAAATAGAAGGAATATAAGGAAATATAAGGAATATAAAGGATATAAGGCATCAAATACAGTGAAAACAGGGGTTAGGTGCCCTGCATCTTATATATACACTTCTCTAATTTGGGGAGGGGAAGGGAAAAAACAAAATGCTTAAGTAGGGATACAGGTTGACCCATTGTAACAGTGAGATGTACAAGACACTATGTTGAAAAAATGAACTTTACTTCCAGCCGCCGGCCTACGGCCTGAGGTTCAGATGCCAGGAACCTCGCGGCCCTCCATGGGCTCGTGGGCAAGCCCAACCCGGACCACCAGCATGTCCCTGTGCAACTCTTCCCGAGGCACTACCTTCAGGCGGAGATATGGCTGGCTTACAGAGGTCCGGAAGCTGCAGAGGAGCACATACCTCTTGGTAAGGAAGGTACCCTTTGCTCGCCTGGCAAGAGAAATATGCAGTAAATTCACTCCAGGTTTTGACTTCAGTTGGCAAGCACAGGCCCTGTTGGCCCTTCAAGAGGCGGCAGAAGCATTTCTGGTTCACCTTTTTGAGGATACCTATCTCCTCTCTTTACACTCTGGCCGAGTCACTCTCTTCCCCAAGGATGTGCAGCTGGCCAGAAGGATCCGCAGCATTCAGGAAGGACTCGGCTGAGTGCTACATCATCTCTGAATGATCCCCTGGGATGCTGTGGAGATGTGACTAGATCCAGTGGTGTCAGAAGTGCTGTGTGAACTCAGCCGTGTGCATGTTGCCTTTTATACTTTCTTTATGAAGGGGAAGACTGCAGGACTTGCCTCTATAACAGAGGTATTAGAGAAGACAAGTCAAGACAGTTCCAACAGCTTGAAAAGTATGTGCAGATACTTTTGAGTATTAAAAGTAATACTTTTTGTGAATTACTCATATGACTGGAGGCTATGGGAGAAGCATATTGTTCCTTTAGATCTCTCTGTACTATGTGCATTTTTTGTCATATATATATTTCTACTTTTATTTAAAATATAAGGGGAAAAATAAGGGAAAAATACTTCAATCAGTTACAGGGAAGCGCTTGGCATGCCTAGCATACAAATCTTAACTATGAATCTACCAGATTCTTCTTATCATTAGTGCTTATCAGCAAGTGTGTAGCTTTTCAAAACTTAATAGGAGTTGAAATTGAAAATCTTTTTTTTAAGTCTTTCCACCTCCATCTTACAAATTCATCCAGAAATTTAAATGCAGAGGCTATACTATCTAATTCTTAGTTGTAAATCATTCAAGGTATATCATGTCAGTTTAAGATTATAAAGTGTTTTTTCAATGTTTTCATAGGTATTTTAAAATATTTTATAGCTTTGTAGAGAAATAATAAAAACAATTTTTAATTAAAAACAAGGTTACTGTTATAGCATAAAGTAATTATAAGCCTGGCACCGGTGGCTCACGCCTGTAATCCTAGCTACTCAGGAGGCTGAGATCTGAGGATCACGGTTCAAAGCCAGCCCTGGCAGGAAAGTCTGTGAGACTCTTATCTCCAATAAACTACTAGAAAACAGGAAGTGGCACTCTGGCTCAAGTGGTAGAGCGCTGGCCCTGAGCTGAAGAGCGCAGGGAGTACCCAAGCCCAGAGTTCAAGCCCACAACCGACCAAAAAAGAAAAAGAAAAAGAAAGAAATTATGTGTTTTTTTTTCTGGTAATGTGAAGTTCCTCATGACACTGTTTATACAGCCATAATTTGAACAAGAGAATTGAGGGGTATAGATTTCCCATGATGGAGTAGAGATAAATGCCCTTGCCCTCTGTTGGAAATGAAAACAATGTGAGAAGTTTCCAGAGAATTGGAACATGCCACTCAAAGACCAGAGAGAGGAAGACAATGAAAATGAGCAGGGAAAAGAGACCCTTCACAATGATGCTCTCTACCAAATTCAGAGACAGACTAAAGGAAAGAGATGATTCTAGCATTGAATAATCATTTTAATACTTTGGAAACACTTGCATTTTGACAACAAGTTGTATTTCTGTAGATGTATAAATAAAGCTTATCCTATGAATAAAAAAAGAAAACAATGAACTTTACAATTTAGGCGGGGGGGGGGGGGGGGAATGTAGTTGTGGAGGAGGGAGGGAAGGGATGGTAGGGGAAAAACAAAGGAGGAGGCAACGATGCTTGATAGGAAATGTGCTCATTACCTTGCTCATGTAACTGTAACCCCTCTGTACAGTATTTTTACAATAAAAAGTATTAACATAAAAAAGAATATAGGGCAATATAAGGAAAGCTCAGCATACATAAATCAATAAATGTAATACATCACATATGTAATATCACAAACAAAAATCACAAGATCATTTCAACTGACACATAAAAAGCCCTTAACAAAATTCAACATTTATTTATGATAAAAGTATGGAAAAACTTAGAATCCACTGAAGTCTACATATGAGAAATCTATAACCAACATCATTACCTTTGTACAATTAGCATATAATAATAAAAAATAAATAGATAAAGTTGGGCACTGGTGGCTCATGCTAATAATCCTAGCTACTCAGAAGGCTCACATGTGAGCCTTTGAAGGCAACTCAGAAAGGAAAGTCTGTGAGACTCTTATTTCCAATTAACCACCAAAAATCAGAGGTGGTACTGTGGCTCAAATTGGTAGAGTGATAGTCTTGTGTGAAAAAGCTCAAGAACAGAGTGCAAGCCCCACAACCAATGGGGGGGAGGGAAAACATAAGTAGATAAATACAGTAAATAAATATTTTTATTCTAATTTACATAATGAATGGTCTGGTTGAAGAAATGACACAGCTTTAAAACTTAAATTCCTTGTTGAAAATATCATAATATCTGACTTTATTTAAAAGAACCATAATAGCAAAAAGATCATGTTGGCACAACAACAGACACATTGGCCAATGGAACAGAATAGAGGACCCAGAACTGGGACATGAGTGTGTGTGAGAAGTTGAAGCAGGGCTTTGAGTGGAATGTGGAAGAACTTTCAAGTCAATGAGAAAAATCACACAAGCTAATTTCTAGCTAGTAATAGACTCACTCACATGTTCTAACTTAAAGAACTCAACTTGCTTCAGAGCCTTGGATTTAACAGTCAGACAAACCAGTGAATTAAGTTATTGTTACTATGTGAAACACAGTTGAAACTCAGGGAAGGTAGCAGAATTATGTTTTGCAGTCAGAAGACATCAGTAATAATTAGAGCAGAATAAACTGCTCCTTAGATATTTTGTCATATTTTTCCACAATGGCTTGTAAATAGAAAGAAACATACACAACATACAAAACTTAGACTAATTTTTAACATTCATCTCTCTCTTTTATATGTCTTAAGGCAGTGAGACCTTACTAGGAGTGCCATCTATGTTCATAAATTGTTTCATAAATGTTATTGAATGTGCAATAGATGACACAGGAAATTTGCTTGGTCTTTGAGATGAAGACTAAAAGTCTGCTAGTATAAATCTGTGGCTCATCTATTCTCAGATAATATTCTTTTAAAAATTCAGAAATCTATGCTTTCTAGTTTAACTTTCTCATGCAAGGTCTCCCATTTGCAATAGCAACAGTCTCCTAATGCACAAACTGGGAACTCCAAATACTTATCAAATGCTAAAGATTTCACGTAAACTACTGCAACAACTTGCCCCTAAATTCCTAGCAATCACAATAGAGATTAGCGTGTGGGATGCTGCACTCTTTCTGTACCCTTCAGTTCCTTCTAATATTGAGATACTGCTGTTAGGAACCACTAAATTCTAGAATCACATTCCATGTATGTGTTTCCTAGGACCAGTATTACATTAAATCTCTTACACCAAATTTTTCATGATACCAACACTGAAAAAGTGACTGAATGGAAACAGTTTATTTTGAAAATGCAGTCAATTCAGATAGAAAGAAAAGGGAAATATCATCTGTTCACAAGGACATGAGGAAACATGCAATTTCTTTAGAGATGGATTTTGATTTTGTCTATAAAATATTCTCTATAAAAACGTTCAGGAAAGAAATATCTGCTTTCCTACAAAATTTTTGTCCTGGAAACAATGCAGTTTGCTTATATGCTATTTAAATGAGATCAAGCAGCATCACTGCCATCAGTAAGGAGACAAACCAGTCTTGCTCAGTCACTGAGTGCTCTCTCTCCCTATTACACTGAAGCTGTCACACAGAAGGCAGAAATAACTGGATATTTCAAGCATGGAGAAGACTGCTCTGGGAGATCATCCAGTGAGAGTCACAGCCACAGCTGTGGTGTCAACATGGGTAAGGGACCATCCCTTCCAGCATCAGATGTCTTGACATCTGGAAGGGAACTCTGACCTCCCTGTCTGCCTTGAAAGAATGTTTAATAAATCCATGGTCATCAGTGACAAGAACAGATTACAATGTCGTCAATATAAAATCTATTTTTGGGCTGGGGAGGTGGCTCAATGGTGGTGCTTTCCTTGCGTACATGAGGCCCTGGGTTCCATTTCTCAGCATCACATAAGCAGAAAAAGCCAAAAGTGGCACTGTGGCTCAAGTGGTAGAGTGCTGGCCTTGAGGTGAAGATCTTAGGGACAGTGTCCAGGCCCAGAGTTCAGGCCCCATGACCGACAAAAAAAAAAAAAAAGTTAAAAACCTGAAAACGGAAATTAAAGGAGAGTTAAGCAAGTGGAAAAACTTCCCATGCTCCTGGATTGGGAGGATTAACATCGTGAAATGGCAATACTGCCAAAGAATATCTACAAATTCGATGCAATACCAATCAAAATTCCAACCTCATTCTTCAATGAAATAGAAGAAGCAACAAAAAATTTCATATGGAACAATGAAAGACCCCAAATAGCAAAAACAATCAGTCTGACCATCTAGGACACAGTTGTGGGGGTGAAGGGGCTGGGCAAAGGCAGGGAGCACAGCCAACCTGCGGTGTGAACCTGTGAACCTGGGGTGCTGCTCAGAATCCCCCGGCTGCCCCTAGCACAAACTAGGCCCCCCAGGTCCCAAGGCCCAGCTTTGACCTTGGAGCGCCCTCTGCTGGCTACTGCTGGCAGGCACAGGCTCCAAGTGGGCAAAGAGCCCAGTCCAGCCTGGGGCCCAGCCTGGGGCCCAGCCTGGGGCCCAGAGGGCTGTGGGCCACCAGCCCTGGCTGTCCTCTTCCCAGAGCCCGGTCCCCTCCCTCTGCCTCTGGTGCTGTGCTGGCTGGGTCTGCAGAGTACATTCTAGCAGGGGCAGGTGGACTGAGATGGGGCTGGGCCGCGGGCCACCCACAGTGAGGCTGTGCAGAAAGTCTTTCTGCAGAGGTGATGTTTGAACAGAAGTGTTTGCCAGCCAGGAAAATGGAGGAAGAGTGTGCTGGGCAGTGAGAGCAGCATGTACAAAGGCCCCAAGGAAGTGCGACCAGAGGAGAGCAGGCAGGGCCTGGGATGAGGTGGCTGAGGCTTTATTCTAGGCAGATGAGTAACATGCATAAAAGGTAATGGATGGTCCTGATTAAGGAGGGGGAAGGGCCCCAGCCTCTGGCCTGGCCCTGCACTTGGCCTTGGGCAATGGCTGGGAGTTAGGGGGGTTGGTGGTGGCCATTGTGTACAGCCGTGGATCCCGAATGCAAGACCTCAGGTACCTGTACAGGGTGGGATGGGGCCCATGAGTTTGGGT